CAGCAGCGAGTGTGAGCAGAGGGGTCCGCTGCGCCATGCAGATCAGTGTCCTGGAAGGGCGTCGGACTCGGGTCACAGTGGATGGCGACAGCTCTACAGCCCTGAGACCACCAGCAGGGAGTCCTGAAACGTCCATTTTTTTTTCATAATAGTTTATTTTTACATCATTTTGAACTCCCCCCCCCATCTCAATTGTAATCCCTGTGGGTTTCCCATCACCAAGTCACCCGTGTGCCATCACCGTAGTCCCGTGCACTTCCCTCCCCCCGAACCCCGTTTTTGATCCTATTCCCCACTGCACCCCCACAAAATATCTCTGGTATATGGCTGTTCATTATTATTATTTTCTCGCTTGGTCCATTGTACTCCTGCTATGAGCGAAACCATCTGGTATTTTTGAAACGCCCATTTTTTTAAGTAAATTTTTTTGTTGCCCTTTGCCGTTCTCTAAAATGGCAGTAAAACTACTAACTTCCTAATAGTTATCATGAGGATAAAAAGAACTAGATGCAACAGGTTTAGAGAAGTGATTGACACATAGTTATCCTTCTTTAGCACTGGTTATTATTGTTATTGTAAGAATATATTAACCTACTTACTGCCTCCTAGTCAGGCCCTTGTTGTAAACATGGGTCAAGATTTAGCAATGACTCTTGGGGATAAGAAATAGCTGACAGCACTGGGAAGTTTCACTGTGGTTACACACACAGCAGGTAATTTGCCTAAAGATAGTGTTTTGCCTTCTCCTCCCTGTAGCCATTACTATTTCACCCATCCCAACTGCCTTTCCCCAGTGGAGCTTCTTCTATTTACTTTTGGCATGAGGATAGAAGACTAAGGCTCTTTCTGTTTTGAGAGTGACAAAACCAATCTAGGATTTGGTTGAAGAGAGAAGACAATGCCTAGTAAAAAGTATTCCTGAAGTGTTTAGACTCCACTCATGAAACTTTGCTGAAATGTTACTGCATTAAGTTGGTCTGAGAAGTATTGTAACTTCTTGCACACGATGACAAGACCTCAGTGGAGATTCAGAGATTAAGCGTTACTTGTAGGGGCAGTGTAGGCCAGTGGAGGCCCAAACAGGAAACATAACCTAGGCTGCTTTTGGTGGCCAGATGTTAAGTAGATTCTATATATTTTTAAAAGATTTATTTATGCATACAGAACTGGGGTACAGATCAGAGGTGCAGGGGCAGTGAGAGGATTCACCAGAGTCAGAGTGGGGAGCAGAACAGACTGGCTGACGAAGTACATTGCTGAGGGGAGCAGCTGGCACATCAGGAGAGGTCTGCCGCACCATGTGGTTCACCTCTCTGGGGCAGGCGGGGATTGAACTCCGCTGAAGTGGCTTTAGCTTAATGCTGTGCTTTAACTCGCTTGCTGTGCCACTGGGGGGCGGCGGGGGGAGCCTATACTAATTTTTTTTTTTCATTTTCAAACTCATTTTTAATTTTCTCTTAATCTTATTCTAAGTACAATTTTTTTCTTTAACTTTTTTTTTAAAGATTTGTTTATGCATACAGAGCTGGGGTACAGGCTAGAGGTGCAGGGGCAGTGAGAGGATTCTGCCGCGCCAGCACGACAGCAGATTTGGTCTGAGCGAAGGACGTCAGGATTAAAGCACACACTTCTTGGTCAGCAAGCAAAGGCACACTTTATTCTTCTCTCCTTCCCTATTTATCCCCTTCAGCCTGGAGCCTGGGGCTGGGGGTAGGCGGAAGCTCTCAGCAAGTGCATCAATAACATGCGACAATAACATGGGGGTCAAAGAATACAAGGTAGCAAACACAAGGCAGGAACACTTCCTGCCTCCTGTTTTTCTGTTCCAGCACCCATGGCTCATTCTTTGTTTCCACACAACAGTGTGCATATGATTCTGTGGGGGAGGTGGGGAGGTCTGTGCAGGCAAAGGACCCAACAGGATTCACCAGAGACAGAGTGGGGAGCAGAACAGGCAAATCAACGAAGTACACTGCTGAGGGGAGCAGCGGGCGGGTCAGGAGAGGTCTGCCTCGCCATGTGGGTCACCTCTGGGGCAGGCGGGGATTGAACTCATGTTGAAGTGGCTTTAGCTTCTTAGTGCTGTGCTTTAACCCGCTGCACCACCTGGGGGTTTTGACTATATATTTTTTCGAGGTAATGCTGGTTTACAAAGCAGTATACGTAGAGTGAAATCATCTGGTATTTGTCTTTATTCTTCTGACTTAATTAAGTATGCTAATTTTCTTTTCTAATCCTTGTTCTTGCTTAAGCTTTTCAGTTCTCAAAATGGATTTGAACACTTATTTTGAAGAGGACCAAGTGATTGGTTACTTGATAATGGAGGAAGATAGAGTTCATGACCATTTCTCCTTTCCCGTCATTGTCAGTTTTTATTGTACAATTTCCTTTGATCACTATGGTCAAGAGGAGGGGCAGAACATTTTGTGTTATAGTACCATTGAGAGACAGTTTACTTCTGCCTTCCATCCTACAGATCTTTGTGCACCCAAGGCTCTGGGATTGAAAGGTCAAGTTCTGCCACATCTTTGGGTGAATGTGAATCATCACTGCATGGCACAGATACAGGTATTTCTGCCTTTTGGGTATATTATTGGTCCTAATTACAAAGACTGTTATAAAAAGGGATTGTAGGGAGATGGCATTTTATTACAAATGACATGAATAATGGATTGATAGGAAAGCCCTTTTTATTGTTTTCACTGCAGTTGTATTAACTCAGAAAGATGTGAAAGTGAGAATAGCCTTCACAGAAGGTTATTTCCTTCTATTCAGTAAGCTCCCATTTTCACTTTGTATTATCAAAATAGGAGAGATTTGGGTAGTAAAAATTGCTTTTTATTTGGGTTTAGTATTTGCATATTGTTTTATCTTGAAGGATTTTGTAATAGAAAAGATTACTTTTCCTTAGGAAGTTAGGGAAAGTTAAATAAGTTTGGAAAATTTTATAAATTATAAAAAATTTAAAATAGTTTAGTTATATGTACAAATTTTTTTCATATTTTCTCTTTCTGGGATATCATGTTTTCATGCTGATAATTATAAGTAAATTTAAATATGTAATGATTTTTCTTTATATTGATATCCATTAATAGGTTGAATCATTTATAGATATTAACAAGTAATCTATTGCCAAAATTTTATTTTCACATAGGTTTCAACATACACTAGATTATTTTTAAACTTTGAATATTGATAGAATCATTTGAGATTAAAAATAGCAGGTGTCTGGGCTTGAACAGATTTATTCAGCATCTCTTAAGCTTCTTGGAATTCTGAATATTAACCATATGCTGCGCTAACCCTCAGTTCTTTTGCAGTCAGCGTATGGAGTATACTTTAGGAAACATGCTATAACTCAAAAGAATGCAACAAATTTAAATATTGAGTTTAGGTAATTAAAAAAATCAAGATATATATATTTTCATATGTTTAGAAATAATATTTGTTTTTTTGAATTGATACTTTTAAAATTAAGTGTTTGAAATAGTATCATTTTACCTCACATTTGGTCATGTACTTCAAGAATTTTGAGCTGAGTTGTTTGAGTGAATGATATCTTGCCTCTCCTATCATAAACTTCTTTTTTTCCATAGTTTCCTGTAATTGTGGCTGTGATCACTTGGAATATAAATGATTTTTGCAGAAATACTGAAAAGTTTTCTATTTTCATATAAATGAGACTCAGACTACATGCTTTGGACCCTTAGAGGAAGTAATTGACACCAATTCACATATGTGTAGAGATACACGTTTCCTAATCCTGGTGAATATGTATGGTGGATATGTATAGGCAACATTTAGATTTTCCTCTGGACAGAAATTACCCCGTTGCTAGACTTTAATGCAAAATACATTTCTCTTACTCTAGAGATGAGTGATCAGGAAGTGATTTATTCAACTGTGAAAGTACAGCAGCCTCCATCAGGATCACAGAATCACAGGCTAAGTCCTGGTGGTACTCAGAGGACTGGGAAAACGCATGACAAAGGTATTTATTGTAAGTAGGTTCACCTGTCTCTTAATGGATAGTCATAACTTGATGTTTGAATTAAAGTTTGCATCAGTCTCATGTAACTTGTTGCCATAGTGGGGTAGAGTATTACAGCAAATTCTTTCTTATTGAATTTATGAGAATGGAGAAGTGAATGAAGTCTTATAAATTTGAGAAGCTATTGCAATGTTTTTTTTTTAATTGGTCAAAAGGAGCTCATGAGGCTTTTAAAAGTCTTGGAATATAAAGAAAAATTATATTTATTAGAGACTTAAATTTTAGAGTATATTTAAGAAAAAGATCAGTGTTAAAATGTTTTTATTCAGACAAAAGCTTTTATGGGGTGTCTCCACATTTACCAATGTTTAATGGTAGCGAGGCAGCAAAAGTGTTCAAATCAAGGGGACGTTCTAATATTTTCTGTTCTCTTTCTATCTTCAAATATTGTGAAAAACTCGAAATTAAGAATAACATACGGTTTTAATTTAATGATAACCAAAAATACAACTTTTTGATATTAAGGACTACCAAGTAAGAGGATAGATGTAGCATCTTTTAGAGAAAAACTGAATTAATGAAAATGAAAGAAAAGTGGATTTCTAAAAAGTGCCTTAAGGAATGACCTTTGTCACATTGCAGCTTCAGGATATCCACTGTTGGCTACCAGTTTCTCAACAATACTGACCGCTGTTCCGTCCTTTTCATGATGAATAGTGATCCCAGCAAGGTGTGCATGTTAGTGCGGATTTCCATAATGTGTGGTGTCTGCTGTCACTTTGCTTTTGTAAGAGAGATACTTCAAAAATTCTGTGGAGCTATTGTGTGCTTAGGAATTTTAACAGAGATGTATGCGAGTCAGAAATCTGAAACTTTCAAGTGATATTGCTGGACTACAAATTTAATTCAATTAGAATACTATATTTTTGTAAAATTTTTAGAGATTGTTCCTTTGTTTCCCATGGTGTCCCAGTTTATGAATGGGCCAGGGTCTCGGCTGGATGATTATTTTGTGCCTTCTTTATTTTAAGGGTGTTCAGTGTCCAGGGATCTTACAATGGTAATTCTCGGGATCCTTTGTTTACTTCTGTTGATCACAGTCTTGGTTCTGGGGACCAAGGGTAAGTAATTGGAATACATCTTTGGCACTGAGCAGTAATTATGCAACTATTAACATGATTCCCTGGAGATGCTCAGGCAATATCCCAGGTGATTTATGGTGATTTTGCCCCACATATTGTCATTTTCATTTTATTTACCTCTGTGGTTGTAACAGTGTCTCATTGTATGTAATAGGTGGTTACAGTCCTGCTGACGTAGGACTTAGTAATTTTTTACCTTGCCAGTGTAGATGATACATAACTAAATGATTTTTAATTCAACCTTTATTTTTACTTGAATTCTTTGACATTTCTGATAATATTGCTAATGTGTAACTCTCAGATAAAATTATGTATTTGAATCATCTTGTCTTTTCTCCCTAGATATTCCTTTCACTGTACTAAAAATTGTGCTGTCTTCATGTTTCTTAGTGTAGATTTGATTCAGAAAATGTGTTGCTAACTGTTGACTGATATTTACTTTGGCATCTATTTGTAAATGTTGTACTGTTAAAAAGAAACTTTACCAAATGTCTATCATAATTTTATTCAGGTATCTTATTTAGTTCATTAAGTCGCTAATGGTGAGACTTTAGTGTTTCCATTTCTATGATTAGTCTAGTGAGGTGTTACTTTCTAAAAGGTCAACTTACTAATTGGAGTAATTAAATGGGTTGGTTGTCAAAATGAGACTTTTTTAAATTTTTAATATGAATGTTTTACTAGTATGAATTTTTTGGGCATTATATCTATATTACCACTTTAGTTTTTCAGTATAGTCAAGAAATACATCAATGGGAAGAACGTCTACAAAATCATGACATTATGAAAAATGACTGCTACTTAAAGGAACAACATTTGATAAATAAGACTTTAGAGTATGACATTCTGAAAAATGAAACCCTTCAGAAGGAAGAGAAATTACACTTATGCTTTACAGAAAATAAGCTATGTCCTAACAAAATGAATCTTCCAAAGTGTTCACAGAATACAGGTATGAAGGAAATTTTGAATGAATGATTTTTCATTGTTTCTTCCTTCTCTAGAAACTTTGAATCTATAAATAGTCCAATGCTATATTCTAGTGATTTTGGTTTGCAGGACAATTCTTAATATGTGCCTCTTTGAGGAAACGTGGATATTTGGGTTTGCTTGTTTCCATGGGACTGAGACCCAATGGTCATGCTTAGATTAGTGGAGTTCACTATTTCTCCCCAAATTAGTGATAGGTCATGCATCTTACTATTCCTATAAGGTGAATTAATATCAGTTTCTTTGAAAATCTGGGTCATTTTGGACCTGTGGGCAAATTAGATGCTTGTACTCTGGTGCTGGCATGAAGCATGGAGGTGGTCAGTTAGAGTCTACACGAGCAGACATGGGCACAGCCCTCTTGTGTGGACACTGGCCTTAGATAATTGTATCTGTGCAGGTGAGACTTTTTCTGTTATCTGAAATTTCAACTTTTAAGCAGTATGAAGCATTATGGGTCCTTTTTTTTTTTTTTTTTTAAGATTTATTTATTTTTTTCTTTTTTTTTTTTTTTTTTTTTTACAGGTTAGTCTTTT